ATTAAATTGAGCATCGACTACAAACAGATTCAATGCATGCTGAGAAAAAACAATCTTTTATTGTGGAGATTGAGGACAGAAGAACGGATATCTATAGGAGTCTTCTATTCTATAATAAGAGTTCGCTTATCAAGCTTTAGGAACATAAAGATTCGTTAATTTTATATTGTACAAAAAATTGGAATGATTTCTGTTGTACTGTCTTACATTGTTTTTAGTGACCCAGATTCTTTCTACTATGACGATTGTGGAGTTTCGTGACTTGTCTCAAAGGTTATTTAACGAGCTATGATAGAAACTGACTTCTTTCATATCACATATATACAATAGTTTTGAAAGCTTTAGTTTGTTCTCATTATGCAATCTCAGTCACACTATGTTCGATATTGGAAGGTTACAAAGCGATTCATTGAGATGTTAATGCTTTTATGAAAACTAGTTCGGTTTAATTGTATGATGATGAAAAGTCCACAGAGTCGCATCAACTTTATATGGGTATCTGTACATTAGTTTTCTATCTTGTTCAAGTCACCAACATCAAAAGACTGAACAGAAAACTAAAGTGTAGCATCAGCAAATATGATATGTCTCTATAAGTCTTAAAATCTATTCTATTCTTTAGAATAAAAAAAATGCATTTGTTTTTGCTGGAAGATTTTTGACTTTCTATATTACATCTTCATTTAGTCAAATAAGAATAGGATCTACTGTTTTATATAAATTAACTTTTGTTTTATATGTTTCTATAAAAGAGTAATTTGAGATAAAATATTTGCAGATCAATACAAGTTACAAATATCTTTGTAGTAAAGATGACTTACTTGAAGGATAATAGACATTAGCTACATTCATATATAAATCTTTAATATGTTCTTTTGATCTCTTATTATGGATCCGCATTTCATATAATATTTCATAGATAAGGTCGTTAAAATGCATGTCATTCTCTTCGTATGAAATGAATTTTGCTTGTTGGTTTCGATCAGGAATAGGTAATTGATGATCGATAAAAATGACAAAAGATTGAATTCGTTGTATCGATTTTGTATAATGATCTAAATCATCAGTATTGTCAAAGAATTGAACGTCAACTTCTTCAAGTATAGATTTAATATGAGAACATTGTTTATTGACTTGAAATAAAGAAGTTAAACCAACAAGAGCATAAATCGGATCTAAAAAAAACAATTTTTTTTTGTTACAAAAGAATCATTTTTTAATAATGATAAATTTTCAATTTTACCTAAAATTAATTGTTCGGGAACAAATTGTGAAAAATCATTTGTTGTATATTCTTTTGGTAATTCGCTTTCATCGATCATTTTTAAATGTATCACATGTATATTATCGTTCACAGATAAAAGATCAACTTTTTCTATACGAAATACTGAACCTAATGCAAATAAAACTTCATCTTCTTCCTCATAAGCCGAATAA